CACTATAAAATATAAATTATTATATTTACAACATCTTTTTAGCAGTGTTTATGAATCAAATAAATCAAAATATAATGTAGTTATTTCAATTGATATAAATTCTTAATGTTCCTTCATCAGATAAGACCGACTAATTCTATAATCCTTCTTCCAGAATCTCTACAGAGTATGTTTTCTTGTGATAGAATCAGTATTCCACAATATCCTTCAAGTTTTTAATTACAAGGTTTTAACTTCTTTATTATTGTCAATCTCAATTCTGCAACGAAAAAGTAAATAATAGAAAAAATGAAGAGAAAGAAATAAAAGAATAAAAATAAAAGTAAGAATTAGAGTATGATGAAAGAATAAAGTTATGAAGCTAAGAAAAAAGTAGAAAGTAGAAGAAGATAAAAAGAAGATAAAAAGTAATAAAATAAAAAGAGATAATAAAATAAAAGAGAAGATAAAAGAAGAAATAAAAAGTGTCTAATTTAATGATGTAAAATAATTAACAATATTTTATTAATGAAAAATATTTTATTATTTTTATGTTTATTATTTATGTGTATAATTTAAACATGATGTTTATTATATATTCAATCATATGTGTTATGTGATTATTATAACATATAATAAATGATAACATATAAATGAAAATGATATGAATATATGATATAGATAGAATATAGAAAAATAATAATATTCATCAAATAATCTACTTCATTAATATTTCATACAAAATGAATAGAAATGATTATAAAATATCAATATAAATATTTACATATTGTATATTTATCATATTTTTTATATTTTTATATTCTTATTTTTTAAAGAACAAAATATAATAAATTTAAATATTTTAATGATTCAAAATATTTTTCATCTATTTTCATTATTATAAGTTATTTAGATTCATTATTTCTTTGCTTGTTGTTGTGCCTAGTAATAGACTAAATAGAACATAGAAAAACCAATAAATGACTAAAAAATAAAATTACCAAAAATAATAAATAATATTTAATTGAGAATAACATTATTTTATTATATTTATATTAATTATCATTGTAAATAAAGAATGAAAGTAAATAAAAGAATAATAACATACATAAGTATTATTTCAAAATTATACAATACCTGTTTAAACGAATTATTAAAAAATATGAGTATGTCTTAAATTAATTTGAATTGTATTGTACGTCTACAAATAATAAAAATAAAAAATAACATTTTAAATATGACAATCATTAATTCAAAGAGAATAGAAACAAAAAACAAACTATTATAAAATAAATAAATGAAAATGGAAGAAATGTTTATAAAAGATGAAATATTGTATTTAAAATGAAAGTCTGATTATTGTTAATAATTTATAATGGATATATCCAATAAACAAGCAGTTTCATAGTCAATAACAAACATTAAAATATATCTGACAGATATTTAAAATTGTAGTCATTAAAACAAACTAAAACAACTTAGATTAAACTGATTAACGTTATAACATTACCATAAAAGAAAGATAAAAATTCACATTTTGTACTGTATTTGTCAAAGAAGCTAAAATGAAAAGAAATGAACAACTGTGAATTATCTTATCTTGGAATTAATCAAGAAGAAATAAAAATTATACTATAAAATATAATAAAATGTGTTTAAATATAAATATATAACATAATGATAAAAAATATACTAAAATAATACATTGTCAAAGTTAGATAGATATTTTATACAAAAGGATAAGAAAATTCTATATCTCATTTAGAATAACAACAGAAGTATTCTCATAATGAAATAATACCAATATAAGAATGAATATAATAAACTATATAAGAAGACAATATCAGAAAAAGGATTCAAACCATTGAAAATTATAACTATTAACTATAAGTTTATGAACAAATAAGTCAAGTAAAAAACAAGCTAAACAATTGATTAAAGGTATAAGTGAATGTGTTAATAATCAGAAAACTCAATAAGAAGATGATAAATTTTTTAGCTATTTCTATAACATTAAAAAGAGAATTGATAGATATAACAATGGAACAATCTTTAAGATCATGGAATAGAAGAGACGAATTCAATTAATACAAAAAATAATTGGTTAATGATTCTTCCTTTTGCTTCCATTTGTTTTAAAAGAGTTATAATTATATCAGCTCTGAAGTTTATATTATGTTCACGCCTTCCATAATGATTAAACCTAAATGTTGTTTCTTCTAAGTTATAATTCCATCTTTAAATTGTTTGATGTGTACTTTGTTTTCATATGATATTTCCAAGATAGTTATTCCTTTGTTTCTCTTTATTAAAGCGGTTAATTCAACTAAAATATATAGCTAAAACCTTTAGTTTTTTATACCTGTTTTATTTGTTGGAAAGTATCATATTAAGTTATCATTGTTTTGTGTTAATGAAGTTAAGCTCTATTTGTCTAAGTGCATATTTTTGTGTTAGATTTTATTAAAAATACACATTGGTGCTTATTTTCAAGTTATTAAATATCAGAAACAAAGATGTATTTCAAAAAAGATGTTTATAGCTGTTTAGAATCATACCCATTATTTCTGGTTCAGTGATATAAATAGACAATATCAATTCATTGATATAATTCATTACTTGTTATGTTAGTAGGTTGGTTATTATCTTATCCACTTTCATAATAGATAACTATACAATAAATAACTTATTATTTGTATGTAATACTGATTGTATTATTATTGATGGTTGTATTGTATTTAAACCATAAAAGGAGGTTCACATCAAATGTATTATGAAATAGGACAAACTATATAAGCTTTATTATTTGAAACTATAGACAATGAGTTGTTGAATTAATGAAGATATGTCACTAATCTAGTAGAAGTTCAATGATAAGTTTGATGAAGGTATGTCTTTTGATTGATATTCACAAGAGTTGTTAATCTGAATTAAATAATTCTTGTTCACGAATAGTTGTTAATTAACATTTATTATTCAAAACAACTTAATAACATGAAGGAAATATCAACAGATAAATAAATTTTCTAATACATAGAAGAAAGAAATGATATAAAAGAAAAGAAAGAAATAAGAATTATTCATGACACATGTTATGACATAAGAACTTAGGTTTATTGAGGTAATTAATTAAAGAAAAGAATGTTTAATAAACTATAAACTCACCAATAAGTTCTTATATTAAAGATGTTTTATTCTTTTAATACTCTAATTTAGTTAAGGGGATGATAATACTGGCATTTATCTTGTATTGGACATTGTTTACATTTTGGATGTGTTTTACGACAACAACATTGTCCAAAAGCAACAAGCGACTTGTTAAACAAAGGCCATTCTTCTTTTGGCAACCATGATTCTAATTGAAGTCTCACTTTTTCTGGGGTTGAACCATCTGCCCAACCTAGTCGTTGAGAAATAACAAATACATGTGTATCAATTGCTAATGACTCTAGTCTATCAAATCCAATTGATAAAATTAATGATGCGATTTTTGGTCCAACACCAGGAAGTGTTAATAATTGTTGTTTTGTTTGTGGGACTTGATTATTGTATTGTTCTTTCATAATAACACAACAATGTTTTAACCGTTTAGCTTTTGTAGTATAAAACCCAACACCTTTAATACAATTAATAAGAACTTCCAGTGATGTATTATTAATAACATCAACACTTAACTCTCCAAGAGTTTCATGCAACTTTTTAACTGAAGCAAAGGTTATTTGGTCACGGGTTTGTGGAGAAAGAAAAGTTCCAATAAAAGCATAAAAAGGTTTATTGTCTTTATTATGACACATTGATAAAATTTGTTCAGCTCCATATTCTTGGACTCCCATTTGTTTAATATCAACCGTATCAAGATATTTTATAATTTGATGAAGAGTAGTAACTCTTTCATGTATAACGTTTGGTTGAATTGTTTTGGTTGTTTTATTTTCCATTCAAAAACGCTTGTGAAAAATGGAAAAGAATGAATTTCAAGTTCAATTTATTACCATTACTAAATGAGTAGTGAAGAAGCATCCACCTTATCGTCAAACCCATCCAGTAAAAATATAAGTGAAGAAAGTAATGAAGATATAAGTGAGAATGAAACCGAAGAATCATCAACAAGAGAAGAAAGTGATGGAGAATTAAGTATTTCATCAGGAGAAGGAAATGAAGAGAATCCAAATGAATCATCCATTACAATAACAGAAGGGAAAAATATTGATTATTTAGAGTTATATAATAAAAAAAGTCAAGAATGTTATGCACTTTATCAAAGAAATGAAATATTAAAAAATAAAATTAATGTACTTGAAAAGAAGATAATAGACCAACAAGAAAATATTGAAAAATTAATCAATATTAATGAACAAATTATGAGAGATAAAGAACTTATTTATGGAGTATTACAAAAAATTAATCAAGAAAAAACACAAGTTGAAAATGAATTAAATTATATTAAATCAACAACATTTAGTCCTGTTGATACAAATATTAGTTATACTTGTCCACCAAAAGATGTTAAAGTAGTTAATCTTTCATTTGATAAATATATATTTATTAAATACTCAACATCAAAACCATTAGGAATAATATGTTTATTTAATGAACAAAAACAAGCACGTGTTGTAAGTTCATTTACTTGTAAAACAGAAGAATTATCATTAGAAGAATATTTTTATTATCAACCTGAAGGAAAAGGAAATGGATTAAAAGTTAAAGATGGAGATCAAGTTTTATCAATGACATCACAATCAAATCAATTAATTACTGTAACTCCATTATTACCATTATTTGATAGATTTCATAAAGTTTCACAAACTAGTCCAATTCTTATAGGAAAAAGAGAATATTATATGACTGTTCTTGATCTTACTACCATTAGTAAATCAGATCAACCTCATGAATTACGTGCTTTTGGAGTAATATTTGAAACTGAAATTACACAAAAAAAACCTGGAATGATTGATGTTTATGATGGATATTTAGAAATGTTTAGACAAATCAATCGTGGTGTAATTATTTCTTATGTCGCTTCATTCAATTATACCCCAAGTATTTTAATACCAATAACAAGGGAAGTTATAACTAAACCATTCCATCCACCAAAAAATGGAATAATGTATTTTGAATCAAAACTATTGAAAATAGACAAATATCATATTCCTCATTTATTTCCAATCCCTTATTTATCAGATGAAAGTTATTCAATTGCTTTCTATTATAATGAAGCTCAAGACCGATGTCATATTATCGATGTTATTTAATCAATAATTATAATTAAAGAGGTAATAAAAAATTTATTCACTCAATTAATTTAATTCTTGTTAATTCACTTCAAAATCATCCGTTGTTGTATTAATAAATTTAGACATTCCAGTTTGGTTTGTATTATATCCTACGTCTGAATTCATTGTAGAAGTTAATGTAGTTGTAGTAGTAGTTGTTTTCATATTTGGATCTATAGATTCTTCTCTTAATTTTTGTGGAGATGTAACTTCTTTATTTTCTGCAAATGTAGGAATCAACGTTGCAAGTTCATCTTGTAACATAACTGCAACATCCTTAAATGCAGGTCTTTTAGAAGGAATATGATCCCAACATTGAGTAATAACATTCCACCAAACATCAGTCATAGTATCTTTACGTTCTAATCTTTTTCCTGCAATAACAAACTTAGCAATATCCCAAGGCATTTTAAATTGTTCAGAAGAATAAGGTTTTCCTTGAATATATACTTCATACATCATAATAGCAAAACTAAATTGGTCTGCTGTTATTGTATAAGGTTCTTTACTAAGTAATTCAGGTGCCATATATACAGGAGTACCTACTCCACAAGTATAATTTCCTTCATATTCTTGTACTGCTCTAGATGTACCAAAATCAGTTATTTTACAATTAACTATCTTTGGATTAACTTGATCTACACAGAACATTAATAAATTATCAGGTTTAAGATCTCTATGAATAATATTAATAGAATGCATCATAGCCATACCCTTACAACAATCAATCATAAATTTTAATTTTTGTTCATAACTTAACTTAACTTTCTTTAATACATGTCCTAATGATCCATCAGGTGCAAATTCAATTGCTATACACATCTTTTTTTCAAGATAACATGCTCCAATAAACCCAACAATATATGGTCCTCTAAGCCTAGTCATTAATGTTACTTCTTTATCAAACTCTTGTTTTGCTCCTATATTATCAGTTCTTTCTTTTAATTTTTTTACAGCAACTTCAATTCCTCGATATGTTCCTCTATAAACAACACCAAATGCACCATCACCTAATGGTGGTTGTTTTAATTCAATTTCATCAAAATCAATTTTATTACTTTTATATGTTGAAACAGCTAAAGCAATTGTTCCAGTTTCTCCTTCTTTTGTTTTTGTATCTTCTATTCTAATGATAATTTTTTCTTTACATGAACAATTGCAATGTAATTGAATTTCAAAATGAACATTCATTTCAGCTCTAGGTTCAAGTATTTCTTTTTCTACATCTGCCTGTAAGAAAAATTTATCTTTTTTTGGTACTTGAATCCAAATAACAAATTGTTTATCAGTATGATTTTTAATTAACAACGTATCTAATAATGGTGTATCAATATCAGGTTCTGCTCCATCCAAATTAAAGTCTAAATGAGCTTTGTTAATATAAATATTATTCCCAAGTTCAATTAATGTTTCTGTACCAACAACAACTTTTTTCTTTCTTGCATTTTTAAGTAATTGAGCTGTTCCATTATTTTCTAATGCTTTCATTTCATCTTCTTCCATTTCTTTTTCTTGTTTAATTTTTCTTCTTCTTAAGAGAAGAATTATTATAATAATTACTACAATAAATACAATAATTAAAAAGATTCCTCCAATTACTGAAATAATAATAATAGATGTAGTATAACTTTTACATTCAGGATATCCTTTATACCCTGATGCACATTCATTACATAATTCTCCACTATATTTTTCTTTACATTTTGTACATCCTGTGGATAAATCAAAATTATTCATACATTCTTGACATATTCCATTTTGACATTCAATACAATTAATTGGACAACTCTTTTCAAATGGGGAATATGGTTTTTTATTAATACAAATATTTGGTAATGTTGTTGAACATGTATTATCTATTGTAAGTCCAGTTATTGTTAATGTATTTAATACATTATCTGTAACAGCAATAGGATATTCTTGAATTGATGCAAATGAATTTCCATACATTCTTACTGCTTCAAATTTAAATGCTGTAGATGAAAGATAATCTACATATTGTTCATTTTTCGCTCTAAGCACAATTCTTCCATCACATGCCATTGTAAGACTTGTTGAATTTACTGTAAGTCCAATTTTTACCCATTTATTAATTGGTATTTCTTTTGTTTCTAATGCTGTAAGAATTGATAATGTTGGTTTTCCTTTATAAAGATTAATATTTAATGTTTGCATAGTAAATCCAAAGAAAGATGTTTTAAATAATGATGTTGTTGAATTTTCAATTTTAACTGTAACAAGGTATGTATATTCATTTGTATATTTTCCCCATCCTGATGGAATATCATATGATGAAACTTCTAAAAATGATACTTCACTTTGAGTAAATTTAAAATATTTAGAATTTGGTGTATCTAAAATAGTATCACTTCCTTCTCCTATTAATGAATTTTTTATTTGATATGTCGTAAGAAATACATTATTATTTTCTTTTGACTTGAGAATAATACTTGAAACACTTGATGGAATATTATAATTATTAAAATCAAATGTTTTTGTTGATAATTTTGCTTTAGGACTACATTCATTTGATGAACAAATTCCAAATGAATTATCAATAGCACAAAACATTCCATTATGTCCATTACATGTTCCATAATGAATTCGTATTTCTTTAATAAGTGGGTCAAGTGAAAGATTAATTTCAGATGATGGTATTGATGTTGTTATAATTCTTAATGTTACTTGTGACCCAAGAAGATAATAAGGAAGATATAACACATAATTTGGTGTAAAATAATTTGCTTTAATATTTACTCCATTATACCATTGATTATTCATTTGATATTGAACAATAAAATTTCCTTGAACATCAAGTTCTAATCTAACAAATCGTTTAACATTTGTATCTAATGTATTAATTGTAATTGACCCTCCATTATTAAATAAAAAATATGAATCATGTGTTTTCATATCAGATATTTCAACAAATGTTAAAGTAGCTAAATTTTGTTTATTAATAGTAATGTCTGGAATAAGATCCGTTCGTCTCATTGCTAATTTTTCTAATGCTCCATCATAACATCCATCATCAATTAAAGGAATACCTATAGATGTTTTTAAATTACTTATTCCCCCAGACACTTTAGTTCCTCCATAAAATAATAAATTATTGAAAAAAACTGCATTTCCACTAGTATATGATAATCTTGCTTTTTGTTTAAATATTACATTTGATGGACTAATATGTTTTGTGTGATAATAAATAACTTCCTCCTCTGTTAGTACATGACTTCCATAAATAAATCCACTTACAGTTCCAATATTATATATTTGTGAAGAAGTACATAACATAAAAATATTATCATTTTCTTTAATTATTTCACTTGCTTGGTATGTAGTTGTTTGTTTTTTACCGTTAATATAAACACTAATTAAATTATCTTCTGATGCACTTAAACAAACGTCGTTCCACTCAAAATAAGATGGTGAAAATAACGTTTCTACTTTTTGTTCTGAATTATAATATAATAATGATACTTTGCTTGTGTTATTTTCATTTGAATAAACCAACCCAAAGTTACTAAATCCAACAATAAAAGCTTTAGCACTTTCTGCAATTCCTGTTGCTCTTAAATTCATTTCAGCACAAAAATATGGTGTTGTAAACGTTCCTGATAATTTAGAAATATAGTAAGAAGGAGAAGATATTGCAAATCCTGGAGAACAAACTCCATAATCTTCACTCAGTGAAGAAAAGATAAATATAAAAAAGAGAAGAAACATTTGAAATTTAATAGTTTAGTTAGTTTATTTTATTATTTTCTTTTATTATATAAAATAAATATCCTAATTACTGCTTCAGTCTTGAAAACTTTGAATCAAATGAAAAAAAAAGAGAGAAATAAATTGAATTCTTTCAGTATTTAAAATTCTCCAAATCCTGAATCACCTGGATTATTATTTTGATGTTCATCTGATCCTATAAAATCATTAACGTCTGTATTTTCTTGATTTACTTCTTCTTTTGTTTCTTCTTCTTTACTTTCCTCTTTATTTTCTTCTTTTATTTCTTCTTCTTTTATTTCTTCTTCTTTACTTTCCTCTTTATTTTCTTCTTTTGTTTCTTGTGGATTTTCTCCTTCATCTTCAAGTAATCCCCAATCATCATTTTCACCATTTTCAACAACAAATTCTCCATCATTTTCAAATGCATCATCTGCAATTTCTTCTTGTTCTTTAGGTTTTTCTTCTTCTTCTTTTTCTTCCTCTTTATTAAGATTAGATTGAACAAGTCCTAATGCTTCTTCCCAGTCAAAGTCATCTTCATTTGTTACAGCTTTTTCTTTCTGTTGTTCTTCAGTATTTTCTTCTTCTTTTTCCTCGTTTTCGTCTTGGTTTTCATCTTCACTTTCTTCTTCTTCGCTTTCGTCTTCATCAGATGAACTAGCATCACTTCCCCATGGTCCTCTATGTTTCTTTCCAGTTCCTTCTTCTCCATCTCCATTCAACCATCCTTCAAGATCATCTTCATCAATTTCTTTCTTTTTCTTTTCTGTCTTTGTTTTAGTTTTAGGTGTTTCTTCAATAACAATATTTGTTTTTCTAAGAGATGGGTCACTAGCTTGAAGAGCAAAATCTTCAAGATCTGTATATCCATTAATAATAGTATTTAGATAATGTGATAAAGTTCCTTCTAAGAGACCTTGACGTTGTTGATTAAATCCAGTAATAACAGGAGTTGGTTTATCAGAAAGAAGAATATCTTTTGCATGTTTAAATAATTCTTTACAATGTTCATTATTCTCAGCAAATAAGAATCTTCTTAATAATCTTTCTCTATCACGAATATCAAATGAATTATCATACATAGCAAGTTGGAAAATATATCTAACTAGTTTCTCACTTTGTTCTTTATTTGTAATATATAATTTTCCTGCAAAAGTCAATACTTGTTGTTTAACACACTCATCTTCTTCAACAAATGTTTTAGCAAGAATTCTTAATATATCAGGTCCAAGTTTAGGAACCATTTGAGA